TGAATAATATTGTAACCATTCCTCCCCTAATATTATAGATTTATGAACTCCCTCTTGGCCAGAAGCTAAACTATGTTGATTATTATTTCTATTATTAATACTAGGACTAGAGGAACTATTGTTTGGTTTCTTTTTTATTTTTTATTTTTTATTTATACCAGCATGTTGTTCTTCTAAAATAAATTGGTCACAATGAGGTGACCATATAAATTGCTCTGTATCTAGAAAAATATTATTTAAGAAAACAGAAATAATGTTTTGTGTTATACTTTTGTTTTTTGAAGAGTTGTTAATAATCTTGGCCAATGATAAAGGTGCCAATCCTTTGATTAAGTCAATAAAGTTAAACTCATCTTCATTGCTATTAATTTTCCATATGGATTCATTTTGAAGATCTCTTGTTGAAAATTGTTTGTTGTTTGTAAACATTTTAACCAATTTAACTAAACATTTTTTGTTGTTAAAAATAATTGAATCTATAATATTTTTATGACTTTTGCATTTCCATACATGTTTAAAAGTTTCTATTTCATCACGACACATTGGATAATTCCAATGTTTATATAAGTCAGGGTGTCTTTTTTTAACATGCTCCACTGTAGGTAATTCTTTAGTTAGATATTTGATCCTTCTAATTTTAATATGACTCGCCTTGAATGATGTATTTGTTGACAATTCATCATCGTTTAATCCACATCTACTTCACAATATTTGTTGTTTCTGTATAAGTTAATAAATTGTTCAAAACCACAATTTCTTGATAAATCTGTAATAAAATGTCGTAAATGCTTTTCTACAATTACATTGTTCCAACATGGAATATATGAGATTGAGAATAAATTGTCTGGAATAAAAGCTATTGGTAATGAATCATGACCATGCATCAATCTGGCTAATTCATCCACTTTGTCGTTAAAATGGTCACCACTGTGACCCTTGACTTTAACAAAATTTAAATTAACAGTTGCAGGACATTGCAGATCTACAAGGGGGTCAAGTGTCACTCACTAATAAAAAATTTTTGATCAACACAGAAATTTATATGAAAAAATGAAGAAAAAAATCACGCTTTCATACACAAACTTGCCTGATTTAATCAAATTGTTACTTTGATCATAAAAAATAACAAATATATGAAAAACCCTTTATTTTGATGTATTTTTTGCCAGGGTAAACAAATACCACTAAGCGATAATCTTAACATGAAGTTGGACTACCA